AGTTGGCAACTCTGCTGGGTTCTAATACTTTTTTCTCTTCATAAAATTTTCGTAGAATAGTATTTCTTGAAATTTTAAAGGTGAAATACTTGGTAATTTCTGATTATCTGCATCCCATGAAAAGTCACCTACTCAAACCGACTTTGTGACTTAACCAGTTCAGTGTCACATTTTTAACTCGGAGCCTTAACCATGCTGAGCCGGGTGCGGTTCTCAGCCCGAGTTAACTAGGGAGCGGTAGTGAACGGGTTATGGAAAACTATATATTAGACTATCTTTACAGACAGTTACTGTTCTCTTCATAAATAATAATAAAAGGATTTTATAAAACACAAAATTTTATGAGCAAAAACAAAAATTTATATCACTATATTTACATTTTTACAGCTGTTTAACAAAATGATAGTTGAATGCAAAATGTGTAATCCATACATATTCAATCACACATATAGTATGCACATGTGCAAGGTCACTTTTGTCACATGTATACTCAAAAAGCACATAAAAAACTTAATTTTATCGAATATTGAGACTGAGAGCACAAATAATCAGAAAGTAACAACTATTGCTTGGTATTTTATTACCATTTGCTTGGAATTTTATTTGAAAATGTTAAATATAGAATTAACCACTTTTATTCAATATAAACATTAATTTGATTAGTAAATATAAACAAAAGTTATCATTTTTATACCCAGCCTGTCCATTATTTAGACTTTCTAGAGGATGTTCATTTATCTTAAACCTTAGCTTAAATGACTAAAATTATAACATATACCTTGATTTCAAGAAATAGCCTTAAGTAAGTAATTTTTAGATAATATGTTAAGCCTGCTAATTTTTAAACAGTCCAATAATTCTAATTCTTAAAAAAAATCTACCTTGGTAAATATGAAAATTATAAACAAAATGCAATTTTCACACTTCAAAACAATCCGATTAAAATGAAATCATTTACATAATAATACTTATTAAAGAACAGGAAAATAAAGTTCTACAAAAGGAAGTTAAAAATTTTTTTCCTCCTGAATTTTACGTTTAACGGCAAAATCTTTTGTGTTAAACACAACTCAATGGCAGCACAAAAGTAATGGCAATGTAAGCCAGATACTACATAATAACAATATGCAAAATTCCATACGCTTGAATAATAATAATAATTAAAGCTGATGTCTATGTTAGAACACCTTTCACTTCATTATTTCACCACCAGATTGCTGCACTATGCAGAAAGCAGTTGCCTAAACCATCTCAAAGAAAACATATACATGGTCTTTTGCACCCTGGCATCAAATCTACAGTTAAGTAAATGACTGCCAGATTTGTATGGCCAAATATCAAGAAAGATTCAAGTGAATACCTAGCCAAGGTGACCAGGCACACAAAATCAAAGTTGGGAGAATACCAGAAAGCAGACTCCAGATTGAGTGTGGTCCATATCGATTTAAAAGGTCAATTGCCTCCCTCAAATGGTAAAATTTATTGCCTTACATGTATCAACCGATTTTCTTCCTGGGTTGAGAGGATTTCATCGGAAGACAATACAGCAGAATTAGTTAGCAAAGCATTTTATTAAAACTGGATACGCAGATTTGGAGTTCCAAACAGAATTGTTACAGATCAAGGTAGACAATTTACATCACAACTGTTTCAAAAGTTGGCTGTTACATGTGGTTCAAAGATTTGCCACACCATGCCCTATCATCCCCAATGTAATGGAAAAATAGAGCATTTCCATAGGAACCTAAAATCTGCAATTAAAGCTCACAGCTCTCCAATGGACTGAAGTTCTACTTACAGTGTTTCTTGACCTCAGTCCGACACTACAGTGGATATTTTTTACTCTTATTTTTATGAATTTATGTGGTTACACCGATATATAGATTCTAGTTCAGATAATTTTAGGAAGTTTTTGGATGCAGTTAAGGAATTTTGTGTGCCACAGACTGAAGGACTCAGAAATTTCTAAATAAGGAAGTGGATATTGCTTATGTAGTGCTAGATTCATAAGATGAATTCCTTTTTATTTATTTTATTATTTGATTTAAAATGTAGGTTATTGAGATTATGTATTTTTTGTTTGGGTCTACTGTAGAATTGGGTTGCTCCTTTGACTTTTTTATGTTACAGGGACAAAGTAGAGTGAGCAGCCATGTGCAGTCCGATGTTTTTTTTTTAAAGTGAAAATAGGTCGATATGTACATGGATACTGAGTTTGTGCAATTCTTTGACTTGTTATTTTGTTTTTGTGCAGCGCAAAAATTAATGCTACACAAAGCCAAAACAACAAGTCAAAGAACTGCATAAACTCAGTATCCATGCACTGCTAATTTTCACCAAAGGGCACCCGTAAATATATTTTTACCGTTTCAAGTTATTAATTTTTCATTCTGTTTTTCTTTTAACTGCAACTTTAAAAGTGAAGAGAGAGTCTCCATCTGTATGTCAGTTATTAGTCATGTGCTTAGTGTGTAGAGAACACACCAATAAAACTTCTCAATCATTTAATTTAGTTTTTGATGATTTGTTTTATGGAAAAAGGTAATCCATGTAATCCCTACATTCAAGTCGATGCAATGTATTGGGATCAATATTGATGAGACCACTTAAATAATTTGTTATCTGCGGAGATAAGGGGCTCGGCCCGCAGGTAAAAAGGCAGATTTTTTTGTGTTCAAAACTAAGTTTCATCTTGGTCCCACTTGGCAAAAATAATTCATTTCCTATTCTGCCAAGTTTCAAATGTAAACAAATATGGCAGCTTCATGCACGAAAATACTTAGGCATGTTTGTGTTTTGTTTTCAAATGAATTGTTAAAATTCTTTTAAATTTTTAGGATTATTAAATATTCATGTTTCATGTTATAATAATTCATGTTTTTAAACACTTTCACTTAATTTACACATGCTTTTTGAATTTGAATGACATTGCTAATTAGTTTGCAGCAATAATTAATCTTTTATTTGTATACAATTGAATTTTCATTTTAGGGCACCCCTTGGCAAAAGTTGGCGGTACATGGATACCGAATTTGTGCAAGTCTTTGACTTGTTATTTTGGCTGGCGTAGTGGCGATTTGTGCGCCAAAAATTGCCATTAAATAAAACAAAAATACAGACAAGAATTGCACAACCGTATCCATGTACCACAGCGTATTTTCACGGAAAAACGCCCGATTGCAAAAAATGGCATTGTCACACCCTTGACGGAACAACAATTGACCTATTTTCACTGCAAAACATCAGAGAAGGCACAATTGGCAATTGCACAAACTAGGCACACTAGCAAGGGCAATTTAGTGCTTTTGCGCCAAAATCGCCACTCTAAAGCCAAAGCAAGACCAAAGCACTCTCGTATCCATTTACCATCGACCTATTTTCAAAAAAATCCCCGAATGCACAACTGGCACTATGTACTCCCTTGACTTTATCGGCACATCACTTTTTTACTCAAAAAACATCAGAAATGCACAACTAGGCTTTGCGCACCGAGCCCTTGGTTGGTCATGTACACTCGTATATTTTCACTTAAAAAATCAGAGCCCCATTCTACAAGGAGGCAAACAACAACAAAAACAAAAAAAAAAAAAAAAAAAACATAATCTCAATAAACTGGAAAAACCAAACAATCAGAAAAAGGATAGCATTTAATCATTACCAAAGCAAGACTTACTTACCTCTGTGGCACCAAATTTCCTTAACGGTACCAAAATTCCTAACATTATCTAACTAGAATCATCAATGCCTTCCCCCTTCATCCAATCGAGAACTTCAAATTAATCTTACTACATTCAGTCATTCACTTCTAAACAACAGCATGATTTTCGAAAAAAACACAACCACAAAAGCCCTTACCAAAACATCCTGATTCAATTTCATGAAGAAGATTACATCAATAATCGGGTGCCATCACAAGCATAACTCAGGTTACCATACATGAAAGAACAACGGGCAAAACGGACAACTGGGAGAACGAAAACAACTTCGCGATAATAAGGGGTCCCTAAAGTCAACCTAACCCAAATTTAATTACCTTTATCGAATGAGAAGATTGTTTAATTCATAGGGACATATTATATACGTTTGATGCAGTCATTCAACAAAAAGGGAGGCACCCTTCAATGTTTAGCATCCATACTACAGAATTTCAAAGTTTCTGATCTACTTGTTTTTGAGTTAGAGAGAAACATATAGAACAGACCTTTTTATGCTTTACAATGAATTTTCCTAAGTGAAATTAATAGCTTTATAAATGAGAGATGTTTGCTAACTTCTTATATATATTTACTTTTGATGGTCAATTGCAACCAAAAGTGGTGCACACTTCAGTTTAGCAGTCCTATAGCAAAATTTCAAAGTTCTGAGGCTACGCGTTTTGAGTTATGAGAGAACTGTAGTAGGTAGAGACACATGAAAAAAAGCTCTGAATCCATTTAAATCATTTTATAATTTTTTGGAGAAGATTTTTTATCTACCTTCCATAAAAACAATAGTAATGCATCGATAGCGTCCAAAATGGAATTTTCGTGAATATGAACCCAAATTTCAGATACAATACAAGGAATAAAAAAAAAACTTTGTACAAGAAGTAAAAACGCTCCTTTTGCAGGGGTTAAATTAAAGATGTTTAACAGTGGACAGAAAAAATAATGAAGACTCTGAAAAAATAAAGAACATCACTAAGAAATCATTATTTATTTTCTATTTATTGGACAGATGAAAATTATCAACATTTTAAAGGGAGGAAATGCAACAGAAGAATATAACACAGTCTAAAGAAGGCAAAAAATCAAATATATTGCAAGTTATAATGTATCAAAATGTTTTTAAACATTATAATTTCTCAAAAATTATTCATTCCTTTCTACTACAGTAATTAGCTAATCTTTGTTTTAAAAAACTTCCTAATAAAAGATAAAAATACCTTTTATCAGTAACATATTTCACAGAAACACCTTTCTTACAAAAGGAAGTAAAACTGATTGTTTTAAATTACTTACTAAGCAGGTCCTAAAAAGCGAACAGCAACAGCATTGGTGAGAGCTAAAAGAGAATTTTCCCAAATTTAAAACTGGTGATATGCAAGCGAAGTTTTTTAATTTCTGATACAATGAAGAAACAGCAGTTTGCAAACTGATACAAAAATTAGTTGGTAGTCAACATTTAAATACATTACATTTTAAAATAAATAGAAAATGATCTTTTAGGTACTTTTTTGCAAGATTATTTTAAAACATATTGCAATTTTAATGTACTTTTAGATGTAAAATGGCTTGTTTCTATGCAAAATTTAGTATTTTGATTAAATATATTTAAACCAAAACAAGAGGTAAAAAAAGTAACATAAGTCTCTAGGAAAGAGTAATAAATATGCTTTTAATTGATACCATTGCTTGGCATTTAGGCAGCTGAAGAAGATGGTTCTGTATTTAAACCATCGAAACTAATCCTGCAAAATTTATGAACTAATTTTTGAACTAACACTAATTTTGTTTAACTTTGCCAATAACCATTACTGTACCTTAAGAAACACTGAAAAGAGAAATACAACATGCACTTTTGGCTCTACTCTTATATGCGCCCTAAGATCACCAAATGTGGCGATACGTGTTCTGCGCTGGTTTTTGGCACGATTGCATGTTGTACGACAACCCTTTTGACGTTGAATACTCTGTTCTAGAGTGTTTTAATTGCTCGTTGTTCATGTCGTGCATGTTTGCAATGGCCATTTTGCAATGAGAGTGGTTGCTCTGGTGGGGGATGGTGCTGATAGAATAAGGAAACGCTGAGCAGTGTGTTAAAGAGTGAGTCCTTGTACAACTTGTTTTCGGATGCTGGAAATCTTACAAGGATTAGGAAAGAGTTTTGAACATTTATTGTGACCATAGAATTTTTCTGATTGTGTGCTGGCTTCATATAAATATGATATGTGTGGCATAATTGGCATTTCTGCTGTTCAAAAAAGCATTCATTCATGCAGTGCATTTCTTTATTGTTCTTATTTTGTAGAATTTCGTTCCGTTTTTTTAGTATGAATTTCTGTCCTTATTTTTTTTTTTTGTGTTTTTGAATTTTTAATTTTATTTTGTTGGTGAAGTGCCTATTTGCATGCGTAGAATTTTTTTAAGTTGAAACAGAACTGTACATGTTTCTTGAATTTATTGTTAAAAATTTTTAAGAGAGGTTTATATCGTATCTTCTGTCGCGCCTACATGTGCATCGTATTTTTTTAAGGTGAATAGAACGCTGTGTACTGGATTCATTTAAATTTTGTTCTTTATTTATTAAATGAGTTGTGTAGTGCGTAGATCTTTGCTGCCTAGATTGTGCAATTCAGATTTTTTGTTAAGTTAAAACATATGCGTGTAACATTTCTTGTCAATATTTTTGGTTCAACTAGTTTTGCTACCTAATTTTTTGTTTTTTTGTTCGAATTTTAGGTAATTGTGTTTTTAAAAGTGGTTTTTGCTTGCAAAAGCATTTTTGGAGACATTTTAGGCTTAAAGTTCGAAATGTAGACAAAAAATTTAGATAGTAATATGGCACCATGGAGTTTCTTGCCAAAAATGTTTGGCAACTTGAGGGCACATATAAGAATAGTTCCGCACTTTTCTTAAACCTACTAGCCTTCTAGGAGTTTATCAGAACTCAAATAATTATATTAACATTTGTCAGCTTAATATGCATAAAAAATGGCTGTGAATACACATTTTTATTACAGATGGAAGTTTTTGTCAAAGTGGTTAAAACTGCTAGTTATAATCAGTATAAAATCAACACAGTGGAAAGAAAAAGGGTAGTAACTGGCAGAAAGTCAGATCACAATTATTACTGTGCAAGTAGTAAAGAGAAACATATACAAATATTACGGCTAACCTGTTTAATTTTGAATACATTTTAAAATCAAATATAATCCATAACTTAATAAAATATTTACTTAAAACTCAGCAGCATACTCACTACTCAAGTTCAGCATGATCATTTTCATAAAGTACAGTGGAAGCTTGAGATACAAGCACCTCTATAAAGGTACAAGAACCTCTTCCTCTACGAGGAAAGTATGAGCAAAAATTCCTAAGTACGAGCATCGACTCGAGTAACGAGCAAGGAGTCAGGCTGTTTATATGAGTGGCGCCATTTCTTGATCTGGCTCGACTCTGGGGATCAGATCACTCATTGTTCTTTGATCTACATGTTTGTGCCTTGTGAGTTAATTGTTTTTTACATGTAATGTGAAAATAATTATTTTATGATGCCTCCCAAGAAGATTATTGCCTCAGATAGTGCTGCAAAGAAAAAAAAGGAAGCCATGGCCATTGAAATTAAGAAAAAAATCATAGATAAAGATAAGCATATTGTAAGAGCGACAGAATTGGTGAAGACTTACGGCCGTTCGACATCAATGATCTGCACTATTCTGAAAAAGAAGGAAGAAATTAAGAAACTTGATGTGGCCAAAGGCATTACCGTTACTGCCAAGCACCGCCTAAAACTCCTAGCAGATGTTGAGAAGCTGTTGTTGGTGTGAAATAACGAGAAGCAGTTAAAAGGCGATTCGGTGGCAGAAGCTATGATAAAGGTAAACTACAGTTATATTATTTACCAGTGTTATTTATTGGAGAAATTGATTTTTATGTTGATATTTTTGGAGGTGCAGAATGGATTAACTGGATTTTCACTATTTTCAATGGGAAAGTTTGCTTCTAGACACGGGAATTTTGTTAAACGAGGTCAACGCTGGAACGAATTAAATTCGTGTCTCCAAGTTCTACTGTAGTTCCAAAATGCAAAGAATTTATCTATTTGTTATGGATAAATGAAGAATTCGGTACTTTTCCGTTTAGCCGGCGCAAATCTCGCCAAGCAGACTTTATTGACGACAACATACAGTATGCACAAAATTTTAGTTCTAAGAATTTTTTATTTTGAAGGTATAAACATTTGAATATCATTTAAAATTTCGTAAAAAGCCAATAAATTTGTAAAAAGACATTAATTTAAGAATTTACTATGCTTTCATGGTTCAACATCCTGATTCGCTGGTTCATATCACGTGACACCAAGTGATCTCATCTCGCGTAAACTACGCTACAAAAATATAATTCTCTTAGTAATTACCATAGTGCTTTACTTCGCTAGTGCATTCTCATTAGAATTGAAGAATTTAACCCTCTACTTTTCTACAGTTTCACCTTCGCGTGAGCAGTGAGATTGCATCCTAATTGACTTAATTACCGCAATGTTTTTTAAAGTTGAAATAGAATGCTGTGTACATGGTATTCTTTGAAAATTATTATTGTTGTGTTAATTTATTAAATAAAAGATACGAGGTTTGCGTAGTTCGTAGATTCGTTTGTTTCCTAAATTGTGCAATTCAAAGATGTTTTTTAAGTTTAAACAGATTGGTATTCTTTGAAATTTATTATTGTTATGTTAATTTAAAGTGAGGTGTGAATAGTTCGTTGATTCGTTCATTGCTTAGATTGTGCCATTCGTAGATGTTTGTTTAAGTTAAAACATATCGCTGTGTATATTGAAAGAACAATATCACACCATATCAAGAAAAAGAGACTAATACTTTGAAAACTTTCGTAAGGTACTTCTTTGGATAAAAACTTATCCTTACACAGGACTGCGATTTGTTTTGAAAATGATGCGTAAAAGGTTACCTGCGAGGATATTCCGTTACACATCATTTGTACCATTACTGCCGACTGGCAAAACAGAAAAGTACCAAGAATTCAAAGTCTATCTCTGACTTAAATTCATCATGTGTATCTTGCATAATGTTCTCTAACCATTCAGTACAATATTTTATGCACATAATTTTATTGAAATAATAGTGATACTCATGAAAACTGAATAGGTTTACTTTCTTTCCATTATTGGATTTACAAGCTGATTAAACAATAATGAGTTATTAATTACAATATGTACCATTTTTATATAGTGAAATTAATAAACTAATAATGACTACTAATTACTAAAACGTTCAAATGCTTTTATTAATTTCAACTGGCTATACAGCCAAGTTTTGCAAATGGCATGGTAAAAACTAATTTCTCTCGACAGAAAGCAAAACCTTTGATTTTAATTAGCATCCTGCATGAAGAAATTTTCCATTTTTTTAAATTAAAAAAAAACTGATATTTTTATTAGTTTTATTTACCTGTTACAGGCCAGAAGCTGCTAATATTTGAAGGTGCTGATTTCTTGTCATCAGCAGGTAATAGGAGATATATACTTTTTATTCGCCCATTGTATTACAAATAAAGATTAACTGTAGGATAATTTAGTTTGAAAAATAAAATCGCAACCTAGAATAATTTCATATATAGTGCAGATAAGTCGCTGTAGAAAATATTAACAATACGGGGTTTATTTTGTTTAAATCCTAATGAGTATGATATTCTACTCTGGTTATTTTTATTTAATTTCTACACAGTTAAAAGAAAATCCTGTACTTTTTCATTTTGCTGGCCCAAATCTCGCCAAGCAGACTTTATTGACGACAACATACAATATACACAAATAAAAAATGTTAACGAATGTTAGTTCTAAGAATTATTATTTTGAAGGCATAAACATTTTAATATCATTTAAAATTTTGTAAAAAGCCAATAAATAAATACAATTAATTTGTAAAAAGAGGTTAATTTAAGAATTTACCATGGTTTAACATCCTGATTCGCCGGTTCATATCACTTGATCCCTCTCATATCACGTAAACTACGCTACAAAAATCTAATTCTCTCAGAAATTATCTACATTAATTTCAAGTTAAATTTTAATTTGGAATATAAGTTTAAATGCAAGATTATTTTTCAACACGAGCTTACTCAGAAATTATGTAAAACCGCAGTGCTTTACTTCACTAGTGTATTCTCATTAGTATTGATGAATTTAACCCTTGACTTTGCCTTTTCTATATTTTAGCCTTAGGGTAAAGTGACCATACATCCCGATTTTAGTGGGGCAATCCCGCTTTTTGGAGGATTGTCCCATGTCCCGCTGATTTTTAAAATTGTCCCGCTTTTTAGAAAACATTTGCATTTCTTATTTTAAATGTACTGTAAAAATATATTACCTATTATAGTAAATATAAAGAAATTAAAAATACATAAATAAAAAAAAAAA